CACCCTCTCAGGGTTTTGTGAGAACTAAAACCACAGGTGAGTGTCCTTTGTCAGTTTGCCAAGTCCCTCGTGACGATGGGCCCTGGGTGTCCTGCAGACTAGGCAAGCCCCACATCCCTGAGCTCCACTCACCTCTAGAAATGAACTTTTGGTGTCTCTTGTGGGCTTGCTCATGTAACAGCTCTCCCTGAGGGCCACCATAACATTGGAAGGATGATGTTATGACTGGGCTGTGGGAGGACTCCCTGCTTACCATCCCAGGTCAATGGGAGGCCAGCCTGGGCGGGTGTGGGTGCGGGTGCGGGGTGGGGGAGGGGGCAGCTGGGAGAGAGAGCAACAGTGGGCAGGGTGTCTAGAAGGGCGGGAACAAGCAATCCTTTCCTCACTTGGAAGCCTGGCCACTCTCTCCAAGCCATTTGGGTTTCTTTTTGAGCTGTTAAGGCTAAAGCAGTCAGGGCCTTGAAATATAGAGAAGCCCAAGCCAGGCTGGGAGGGCCCAAGTGGCTCAGGACCTTTTCAGGCATTGCATGGCCACTCCCCTGGGATGGTTTCTGGCACTGCCTTCCCCAGGCTCCTTTCCTCTCCTGCTTCCCTGTCTCTGCCAACTCCATACTGTCTGTCAGGCTGACCCGCCCATTGCTTGATCCCCAGGCCCAGGCTGCCCCTCCTGTCCCCCAAACAGCCCTGACGCCACCTCACATGACCTTGAGCCCTTCCTGAGGGCCTGGCACCAGCCTTGCCAGGTTCCAGCCAACTCTCAGCTTTGAAACTGGATAGTGGCACAGGGAAGAATAAAAGGCTGTTTGCGTGAGCTGCAGGTGTCATGTCAGGCTGCCCACGTACTTGCGGTCACTCTGGCTTCGTGTCATTCCAGGGACTGGAGGGGACCCTCCACCAAGCCACAGCCCTAGCTCAAGGGTTCTGTCCCTCATTGTCCTCACAGGGCTAACCAATGATGACATTGCTCAGATTAACAGTACCACACAGGAACACTCAGGCCTCTCAGCAGCCACAACAGGCAAGTTCCTAGGAAAGGGGACATCAGGAAGTTAGGGAAACCTTTGTGCCTGCTGAGGGAACAGCCAGTTACAAGCCCTTCCACAGGAAAGCCTGAGAAAACTGTGGAGTTCCTGGCAGAGAGACAAATAAAAAAAAATCCTGCCGTGCTGGGGGAGGAGCAGGCAGGGTGAGCTTCAGACCTCCTGGGTAAGCAGGTCTCCCCTCCCCCCTTCCTCCCTGTATGGCCAGGGCCTGGTTACCTAGGCACCCACCTGCCCACTAGCAATGGCGATGAGTGGCCTCTGCCTGCATGTGACCAACCAGGCAGCACCCCCAGGGCCTCCCAAAGAGGAAGAAGTGAGGCCTCAGGGGGAATGAAGCCACGTAGCTGCTGGTATCAGCTGCCTCATTGGCTGGTCTGTCATTTCACAGGTGCTGGCTGAGCCTGGCTGTGTTGAGGGCAGGGTTAGGACTGAGGAGGGGCCTAGGCCTTGGTCTGTTCAGGCAGGTGCCTTCTCTGGAGGCTCAAGGCCCTGACAGCTGAGTAACAAGACAGTCTTTCTGGACTGAGGAGTGAAGTCAGTTCAGTGCATCCCACAAGCTTCTCAGGGGAAGCCTGGCAGGGCTGAAAGCATCAGTGACCAAGAGGCAGAGGGTGAACCCCAACACTAAAGAGGGGTCTCCCCAAGACCAGGAGTAGCCAGAGAAAGTGCTCTCAAAGGATGAAGTGACCCAGACTCTGCTGAACCTGTAACAAAAATGCTGTCACATCCCAAGACATGGCATTGCCTACGGAGGGACCTGTGAGGCAGGAGTCGGTGTCTTCACCAACCACACAAAAGGAAGAGAATGAGCCCAGGAGAAAGGCGGGTTGTCGACTTGGAGTGGATTTGTGCCTGACCATTTTCTATTTTGTTTTTGTTTTTGGACATAGGGCCTCATGTAGCACAGGCTGGCCACAAACTCATCGTTTAACCAAGAATGGCCCTGAATCCCTGATCCTTCCCCCTGCCCCCTCAAGTACTAGGATTGCAGGGATATATGTGACCCATTGGGTTTAATGAAGGTGGCTTGTGTGAGCATGAGTAGGGGCTTATTCACTGGAGGGTGGGCAGCTATATCACTGAGGAAAATGACGCTGTCTCCCTTAGTGACCATCAGCTGCCTGTACCTCAGTGAGGGAAAGGGCCTTTTAAAAAGTGTGTGTGTGTGTGTGTGTGTGTGTGTGTGTGTGTGTGTGTTTCTCTCCTTCCAATATGTGGGTTCCAGGTTTGAACTCAGTTTGTCAGGACTGGCAGCAGCAACATCCTAACACTCTCTCCCCACTTTTTTTGTTTTTCAAGACAGGGTTTCTCTGTGGCTTTGGAGGCTGTCCTGGAGCTAGCTCTTATAGACCAGGCTGGTCTCGAACTCACAGAGATCTGCCTGCCTCTGCCTCCCGAGTGCTGGGGTTAAAGGCATGCGCCACCACATCTGGCTACTATTGAGGGGCGGCAATATTGTTTTATGGGTATGTACACATGTATAAATATACATGTCAATAAGAATATTACTATAGTAAATGTGTAGATATGTGTACATTTACATGGGTGTGTGTTGATATTTATGAGTTCCCTCAGCTTTTAGAAACATACAGAAATAATCATGGGGGAAAAACCGTGAGAACCGCACTCAGGCTGAGACTGGTGGGGGCTGAAGTTGGGTGTGGGCTGAGGGCTCATGGGAGTGAATTGTTCATTCTGTCTGCTTCTCTGTATGTTCTAAGTTTTTTGAGACAAAAAAATACAAGCAGGGATGAGGGTGACTGACGCTCAGTTGGTAGAGTTTATCAGCACTGCATAAAGCCAGCCTAGTGAGGGTTGAAGAGATGGCTCAGTGGTTAAGAGCACTTTGGATGCTGTAAAGTGGTGGTGTACACCTTTAATCCCAGTGCTCAGGAGGCAGAGGGATTAGAGTTCAAGGCCAGCCTGGTCTACAGAGTAAGTTCCAAGACAGTCAGGCTACACAGAGAAACCCTATCTCCACAAACAAAAACAAACAAACAAAAAAATAGCCCTGATGAGTGACCTAGGTCTGGGATTGGTGAGATTTAGGCTTCAGGACTGGGCAGACCTCTGGTGGAAAACTCGGCTGAGAGAAGCTTGAGTGCATGGCTGCTGGGCTAGAGGCCCCAGGCCATAGCTGTAACAGCACAAACTGTGCCAGGTGCTTTGGGCTCTGGATGAATCACGCTTGATCCTAGGACAAAGCCTGGCTTCAGTGGAGGGTCCTGGCTCAAAACCCATGGGAGAGTGATGAATGGATGGCCTTCCAACTTCAATGAGATGAGCAGAGGCACTGGCCATGTGTTCCAGAAGCACTAAGTGTCCAAGGGGCTCAGTGGCCGGCAAAGCAGGCTTCCCCAGGGACCAAGGACAGGGCAGCATGAAGGTTGTCCTCCAAGTTCCACAGACCTTTGCTGGCATTGTAGGACCCCCCCACCTGTGCTTCGGAAATGGCCATTCTCTCCTATTCCTCCTGGGTGACTAGAGGCAGGTATCACGACCTCCCTGAGCCTCAGTTTCCTGTAGAACTGCACAAAGCCGCAGCTACAGGAAGAAATATGAAGAGACCTGTTAGCTGGTAGATTGTTGGCACCATCATCTTCAGCTGCTCCCCCTGGGGCACCAGGGTGACATCAACACCATTTAGATGAAAGCACCCAGAGAGGTGTTGGGGACCATAGGGCCCCTCCCTGCAACTCTTCACAGTCTGTGATTTTGTTTTTGAGACAGTTTCTCTGTGTAGTCTTGGCTGTCCTGTAACTCTTTCTGTAGACCAAGCTGGCCTCCAACTCACAGAGATCCACTTGCTTCTGCTCCACTTGCTTCTGCCTCCTGAGTGCTTGGGTTAAAGGTGTGGACTACTACTGCCCAGCGTGTGTGTGTGTGTGTGTGTGTGTGTGTGTGTGTGTGTGTGTGTGTGTGTGTGTGCATGAATGTGTGTGTTTTATTTTTTTAGGGGAGGAGGAGTCCAAGAGACACAACCTGTTGGATCTCAGAGACAACTGGAAAGAATCTGTTCTCTGGCTGGATAGATGGCTCAGTGTTTAAGAGTACTTGGTCACACAGAGGACACAGGTTTTTTGGTAACCTGCACCCACAAGAAGGTTCAAAGCCATCTTTAACTCTAGTTCCAGGGGATCCAACACCTTTTCCCAATCTCTATGGGCACCAAGCCCTCGTGCACATACAGTCATGCAGGCGAAAACCTCATACACATAAAAGTAAAAATAAATAAAACGAAAGAGCCTGTTCTCTCCTTCCACCATGTGGAGCTCTGGGATTGGACTGATCTGCCTGCCTCTGCCTCTCAAGTACTGGGATTAAAGGCATGTGCCACCACCGCCCAGTGTCTGCAAGTACTCATACCCACTAAGCTATCTCAAAGCCCTCATCACCACTCCTTTTTTTTGAGACAGGGTCTCATGTAGCTGCGGCCGGCTTTAACTCATTATACAGTCAAGGATGACCTTGGATTACTCTCCTCCTGCACCCACCTCGCAAGTGACACGCCACCACACCCAATTTTGTTGTGCTTAGGTGGCATCCCAGGGCTCCCTGCATGCCAGGCAAGCTCTACCAACTGAGCCAAGTCCCCGGCCCTGTGATCCGTTTTTAACATGTAGCTGTTGCCTTCCAGCAGTGAACAGGGCCGGATGCAAGAAAAGAGGCTGAGAATGGTACCAAGTAAAAAAAAAAATCCCTGAGCCCCATGCAGAAGATGGTGTGTCAGGCCAAGCCACTCCATCAAGGCTCCAGCTCCAGAAACTTCCTGCGGTCCCTGTTGCCACTGCTGGTGGCTTCTCTAACAGGGCAGGGGCAGGGTGGACATCTCCAGAGGGTAAAGGTCAGAGGTCAGGAGGGCAGGGCCATACTCTGCCAACTCCTCCCACAGTAGGGAAAGCTGCATGTGGGACTACTTCCTCTTTTCTCACTCTGAAAACAGGAGCTGCCCTGCAGGGCAGCCAGAAGAGATGGACACAGATTCCAGGCTGTACTAGCCCTGCCTTACCCCCAGGCCAGGGATTGCACTGGCCAGTTGCCTCCCTCCCAGCTTCTGGGGTAGCTGAGGCTTGCGGGATGGAGGATACCAGTGAGGAGAAGCAGCAGGCCTCAGTGTGCAACCTGGTGGCTGTGTTCGAGAACAGCAGGTACAGGTGGTGGGGGAGGGGTCAAGCCCTTCTGTTTGCCTGGCTCTTTGGGTCCTGCCCTGGGGACCTCCGCCCAGGTTCCTCCAAGACAGGTGACTGGCAGTACAGGAGATGGCCCTTGGGGTCCTGAGCTGGAGAGGATGAACAAACAACGTGCATTGGGAGACCCCCAACACACACACACACACACACACACACACACACACTTCACACTTTCACACTCAAACCAGGTCACAGTTAAGCGGCTGCCATTGGAATGGGAGCAAGAGGACAGGACTCAGATGAAATGGGACTGTATGGGGCAAAGCAGAGCCATGCTCTCTGTCCACTGTCTTAAATTCCCACCCTGATGGCCTTAGGGTGTGTCTTGTTCTGTTCCCATCTGTAAGGAAGAAAGAGGAGGCCTGGGGTGGGGGCAGGGTGGCACCAGGTTCTTTATCTTTTTTTTCTTTCTTTCTTTCTTTTTTTTTTTCCTTGGTTTTTCGAGACAGGGTTTCTCTGTGTAGCTTTGGAGCCTATCCTGGCACTCGCTCTGGAGACCAGGCTGGCCTCGAACTCACAGAGATCCGCCTGCCTCTGCCTCCCGAGTGCTGGGATTAAAGGTGTGTGCCACCAATGCCTGGCCCCCGGTTCTTTACATTTCTGAGCTTTGGGGCTTGTGCTGAGGCTTGCATCTGAAGGGGAAGGACAAAGCCAGGTGCCCTGGAAGGGTGTGGGCGTGAGACATGAAGTCACTTTGCGGGCCTGTGGTATTGCCCTCTGGAAGCACACACCCAGATAGAGTTTGGCATTGTCAGGAGGCTTGCGGGGAAGCTTTAGAAAGTGGAACCTGAGAGCCTGGGGAGAAGGGGCACATGGAGGGAGAGGCTGAGCCCTGTATGTGCTGGGGAGTTCCAGAACCTGGGTGCACTTCAGTGGTTCTAGCTGAGGTACCCACGCCTCCAGTTACTAGACGCTGGGTGAGACTTCCCTGGAGGGCAGTTCCCAGAGAAGGACTCTGCCAGTAAGTAACACTCAGCCACCAGTGCTCCTAGCCCTAGGTGAGATCACAGTGCAGTGCCTAGGGCCTGGGGAGGCTGCCTGTGGAGGCTGCAGGGACGGACTTCTGCTTACGATAAAAAGTTCCATCTTTCCACGATACAAGACCACAGGCTTTAGATGTCCTGAAAAGGCCTCCGTGTTGTGTTGAGGGCCAGCTGGCCAAGGGAGGCCCCTGTCATGGAGTCAAGGCCCCACATTTGCCCAGCAGTTTCACTCCCGGAGCTCTGGCAGCCTGACCCTGCCTCTCCAGGGGCTTGGCCAAACTTATCCTATTCAGCACCTGGGACAGCTCTTTGCCGCTGCCTTTTTGGCCCACCACCCCAGATGTGGGACCACCACACCCATAGTGCCGGAGGGTGGGTAGGCTCATGTGGGTGCCAGGCCTTGGGGTACCGAACCATGCCAGGCTGCACCCTGCAGGTGGAGCAGCCCTAGACAGGAGGAGGTCACAAGAAGTGTGTCCAGGAATGTGGGAGTCAGCCTACGGAGTGGAACAAGGGGTACCATGCAGGCTCCTCTGTGGGGCCCTTGGCACCTAGCTGATCTGAAACTAAGGCCTGGGGAGGAAACAGCTACAGGCCCGAGTGCTCAGAAATGCAGAAGCTAAAACCAAATGTAGAAGAGAAAACCTGAGACTCAGCACACTCCCGCCCTCCTCACCTCACCATACCCCCGCCTTCCTGGCTGCAGGCCCTGAAGCCAAGGGACTCAGTTTTCTGTGTCTGGAATGGGCCCCAATATTCCTTCCACCTCTGTCAGTCCCTGTGACCTGGACACATCTTATTCTGGAGGTTTGGACCCTAGCCTGCCTGATTTGAACCCCATCTGTGCCACTTCCAAGTTCCCATCCTTCCTGCCTGTTTCCACAGCTGAAGCATGGGTGCAATGAAGCTCGTTCTCTTTGGATGTTGACGCCTTTTTACCTGTCTGTCCTCTGTCTTTCTCACCGGGATGCCTACCTGGTACTGTCCCCCTGGTCTGTCTCCCTGCACATGCCTAGCAGGGACAGTGCTGCCAGCACAGGCTTCTCTGACCTGTAGGACAGCAAAACTGCCCCGTGAGGGCTGAACCTGTGGGGTCTGGGGGATGGGGCCCTGCTTCCCAGACTGTCTTTGTCCCCTGGTGATAGTGTAAGGGGCACAGGTTCCCCTGAAAAGTCCCAGGTTAGCATCTGCGCCCTCATTCTGTATTATTCAATGGCTCCTACTTTCCCTTGATGATCAGGAGAGGTTAGAGATAAAAACAGGGGTGAGGTCCAAAGGTGAGGGAGATCCTGAAGGAGACCCTAGAGAGCAGTGTGCCAAAGGGGGGGGGTTCTCTTCACAGGGTTGCATTTGAAACAGGGAAGTATATAGTTCCCCAAAGAATAAAATAGTCCACAGTGACTCATTCAGAGGACTGATGGAGTTCCCTTCCAGATGGGTGTTGGGGGTGCGGGGTTTGGCTCAGTTGGTAGAATGCTTGCCTAGCATGTACCAAACCCCAGGTTCTGTCCCCAGCACCATGTAAACCAGGCACAGTGCTCCATGCCTACAATCCCAGCACTAGGAAGGTGGAAGCAGGAGGACCAAAAGTCCAAAGGCACCTTCCAAAGCCAGCCTGTGACACCCAAGATCCTGGCTCAAAAAAGAGGGTGCCCAGAGGGCTGAGGAGAGATGTGGAAGTCTTAACAAGTTCCTACTCTGTGTCAGGCACTTGGGGGCCCATGAATACCAGTGACTCACACCAGTCACCCCTGAGAGGACCCTCAAACCTGGTTTGTGCTTTTTTTTTTCCCCCTTTGGTTTTTTGAGACAGGGTTTCTCTATGGCTTTGGAGCCTGTCCTGGCACTTGCAGACCAGGCTGGCCTTAAACTCACAAAGATCTGCCTGCCTCTGCCTCCCGAGTGCTGGGACTAAAGGTGTGCACCACCAACGCCCGGCCTACCTGGTTTGTTCTTAACAGGACCCTGGGAACAACGCCTGGACCCCATAGTGCTGATGAACAGCCTCAGAGTCCTGAACGCAAGCTGCCCCTGTCCCCAGGGCCTTGGGAAGCACCTCCTGTTGAGGAGGCCATGAAGCCTGAGTTCCGCCCAGTCAGCAGGACATATTTGAGCTCCCTCAAAAACAAGCTATCAAGTGGGGCTTGGAGAAAATCCTACCAGCCTGGGGCCAGCCCAGGGCCAGAGACACAGGTGAGGCATTGAGCTCAGGGCTGCTGCTCTGATGGGGATGGGTAGGAGGACCCCTCAGTCTCTCACCTCTCTTCCAATTTCTCCCTCCTCTCTCTTTTCCTCTTCCTCTTCAAGACAGGGTCTTGTTGGATGGCGTTGGCGCACGCCTTTAATCCCAGCACTCAGGAGGCAGAGGCAGACAGAGCTCAGTGAGTTCGAGGCCAGCCTGGTCTACAAAGTGAGTTCCAGGACAGCTGGGACTGTTACACAGAGAAACCCTGTCTGAAAAAAAACAGACGGGCTCTTAGAATGGACCCCAGACTGGCCTTGAACTCACATCCTCTCCATCCCCAGTGCTGGGTCACAGGTTTGCTCCCATAGGCCTAAGTCTCCCTTATGACCTAATATAACCTTGATGGCTCCCTACCCCTGAAGAGCTCAGCTGGGAAGCCAGGCCCCTTCTGCTCCATGCATCTTCCTCTCTGTGTAGCCTCCTAGAGAGCTCCCCAGCAAGCAGCCACAGTGGCTCCTTAGCTCCTGGCTTCCATGAAAGCCCAGGTGGAGGCTGCCTAACCTTAAGGCTCAGCCCAGGGACCGGGCACCTCTCTAGGCTATATTCCAAGAAGGCTGGTCCAGGGTCAGACCTGCTGTGCTGTGGAAAAGCGGGACATCAGAGGGTGTGCTCACTGGGCAGAGCCACAGTGTCTTCTGAGGAGTGACACACCAAGATGTCCATCCTTCTCCTCCCCCCACCCCCCATAGGAACCTGAGGAGAAAAGGGTCGTGTGGGAGCTTCTGGAGACAGAGCAGGCCTACGTGGCTCGCCTGCACCTGCTTGACCAGGCCAGTGGAGACTCTCCAACACTCTCCATATCAAGAATGCTGACACCAGCCCAGGGTTTGGCTTTGGCTCAACCCACTGACCTTGTTGGGTGGGGTTGGGGCAGCATCAGAACGGAGCCCCTTAGCACCACAGGCATTGCCTTTGTCCCTGCCAGCCTCATATAGGGCAGCCCTGCCCGGTTTCCTCATCGGTTGCCCTCACCGGACACTCCTACTTTCTTATGGAGCTTCAGCCAAGGGAAGCCCAAGGCCTCCAATGACACAGATGGAGCTGTTTCCCTTGTTCCCTTGACCAAGTCCTAGGGACTTCCTGGCTTGTCGTCCCTTCTGTAAAGTAGCTGGAATCCATCCTTCCCTGGCCATCTCTCCCAGGGGCGTGGCAAGGATGCAGACCTAACTCTGCTGGAGCTGTGCTGTCCCCTTGGGCCTTTGGAACTGGTGGGTGGTTCAGGGTATGACCCGGCGCTGGTCCCCGCTTGCAGGTGTTCTTCCAGGAGCTGCTGAAGGAGGCAGGGCGCAGCAAGGCCTTCCCTGAGGAGGTGGTGAGGCTCATCTTCTCCAACATCTCCTCCATCTATTGCTTCCATGCACAGTTCTTCCTCCCAGAGCTGCAGCGGCGTGTAGATGACTGGTGAGGTCACAGATCTCAGCACCCAGCTTGATTGGGGGGATCACGGGCCCAGGGTGAGGAGCCTGTGAGGCCCAGGTGCTTCAGTATAATTCTGGCCATGGCTGTGTCCTACAGAAGGGGCAATCCCAGGCCCTGTGACTTAAGAGGCCATGGATGTCATGCTACCGACTGGGTCGCTGGCCTTGATTTTGTCATCTTTAACAGGATGGTTTTCCAGCCAGCTATGTGATGTTCACATCATTGTTATACAAGAAGCCCAAGCCGTGATCCCAGCCCCCACACGTAGGCTCACAGCCATGAGTAGCTCCAGTTACAAGAAATCCAGTAGCCCTCTCTTTGGCCTCTGTGGGCACCAGGCATGCACACATGCACGTACATACTACATGCAGGCAAACACACAGGTACACACACAATAGGAAAATCAAAAGAGAGAAGATGAAGGAGGGAGGGCTGGTGAGACTGCTCAGTGTTGAGCAAGCCCACAGACCTGCATTTAATTGTTGGGACTCACAGGGAAAGAAGAGAGCCGATTCCCAAAGTTGTCCTCTAGCACCCACAAGTGTGCTGTGCCCCTACACACCACACATAATGATATTAAGTAAAATAAACTTTAAAAAGACAGAGTGTGGCCTGGAGGCCAGCCTGGTCCACACAATGAGGCCCTATTGCAAACAAAAAGAAACAAAAGCGGGGGGTGGGCATGGACCCCAGCCTGTAAGGTTAGCCAGCATCACTCCCGTCTTTTCAGAGTAGAAAACCAGGGTTCAGAGAAGATTGCTCGAGGCCCACAGCTAGAATATCTAGAGGGAAGACAGGCAGCCATCGGGGCAGCCCTCTCCTGTGGCCTGGAATGTCAGCTACACAATGCCCTCTACAGTTCCCCCCAGGCCTTGTTGGGCCTCACAGGGAGGCTAGCTGGGGTCCAGGCGCTCAGAGTCTAAAGAGGAGTCGGCCGGACCCTCGAGGTGTCACTGTCTCCTGCACCTGCCCCAAGGGTGCTGGAAATGCTGTTCGGGGCTGGGGAGCCTGGGGAGCCTGGCTAGGCTGAGAGCATCCCCTCCCCGACTCAGGACAGCCACACCCCGCATTGGGGATGTGATCCAGAAACTGGCCCCGTTCCTGAAGATGTACAGTGAGTATGTGAAGAACTTTGAACGGGCAGCAGAGCTGCTGGCCACCTGGATGGACAAGTCTCAGCCCTTCCAGGAGATCGTCACCCGCATCCAGGTGTGGGGCGCGGTGCAGGGGTGGGCGGAGCCTGCACGGCCACCTAGTGAGTGGGCCTGCCTCACTTTCCCCTAAGTGGTTTGGACATCCTCAGGTCAAGCTCTCCACTCAGGCCGGGCGCCCCACTCTCCCTTCCCTCATCCTCCTGCCCCTGTTCTCTGCTCCCCAAGCGCAGCGAGGCCTCGGGCAGCCTGACTCTGCAACATCACATGCTGGAGCCAGTGCAAAGAATCCCACGGTACGAACTGCTGCTCAAGGAGTACGTGCAGAAGCTGCCAGCCCAGGCCCCAGACCGTGCGGACGCACAGAGTGAGGACACCATGGGTCCCGGGAAGGTGGAGTGGGGAGGGGAGGCTGGCCACTACCATGTGGACGCACTAAAACGTTTCTAACGACCTTCTATCATTGCATCAATCACTGGCACTTCAAGCATGTTATCCATACCACAGCCACAGTTGACAGAGTAAGGCCCAGAGAGGTTAAGTGACTTGCCAGGGACACACAGCCCACAAAAGAAGCCAAGCTAGAATTTGAATCTGCATCTGTAAGGTGTGGCTCTGCCCTGGGAGTAGAGATTATCGCTGAAGCCATACACCTAATCACACAGCTTCACAGTGGCCTCAGTGACATTAGCCCAGTTAGCTCCGTCTTTCTAGACAAACTACGTTGGGCTGCATGGGTAGGGCTGTGCCTGATGGTGGTTGTGGCAGTTCCCCTGGGCCATATTGTGGAGCCCCAGCCCCAAGCTGCAGGTCTCTAGAAATAACTGGGGCTTTGTCCCTTGCTAGGAGCTCTAGACATGATCTTCTCAGCGGCACAGCACTCCAATGCAGCCATTGCAGAGATGGTGAGCAGCCTGTCCTCAGGGTGGGCGTGGGGCATCCCCAGACACACTCTGTCTCCTGGTCCTTGTATCCACTGACCTTGCCCAGGGTACCTGTCCCACGCTGCCTCCTTGCCTCCGGCTCCCTAGTCCCATCCCCACCAGGCACATTCCCAAGAAGCTGGGACCCTGCCCAGCGTAGGCTGAAGGTGTGCCCCATCTCCAGGAGCGGCTGCAGGGCCTGTGGGAGGTATACCAGCGCCTGGGCCTGGAGGATGACATTGTGGACCCCTCCAACACCCTGCTCCGAGAGGGCCCTGTCCTCAAGATCTCTTTCCGCCGCAGTGACCCAATGGAGCGCTACCTGTTTTTGGTAGGGGCTGCTGGGCTTAGATGTCAGGTGTGCCCTGGGAACTGGAAATCAGAGTCTGAGCCCTGGCTGGCTTCAAAACCTGTGCCACTCCTATGTGCTCTAAAGACAGTACAGAAGGAGGGAATTAGGTTAGCCACCGGGAAGACCTGCTGGGCTGACTGACCTGGAAAACCAGGGTCTCTGGACAGCCTGCAGTGTTGCTACCTGGAGATTTACCACACACACACACACACACACACACACACACACACACACACACACATACCTGTCAGCTCTCAGGCTCCTCATGCTGCTCTGGTTCCCCAGTGCTCAGGGTAGAGGGGCCTATTGGTGCAATTGGGGGCTAGATAGTCACATCCTTACCCCTTCCCGGATCACCTGTGATGACCTGTGAGCCAGCCTAGAATGTGGCCAGAAGGGGAGGAATTACAGCTAGATCACTCGAGAGCCCCTGAGCTGCTGCCCATACTGCCCGTGTCTTCCCAGTTCAACAACATGCTGCTGTACTGTGTGCCCCGAGTCCTCCAAGTGGGCGCCCAGTTCCAGGTGCGGACCCGCATAGACGTGGCTGGCATGAAGGTGAGCTGAAGAGGGCCCAGGGTGGGTGACAGTGGTGGGCAGAGCAGGTCCTTGATAGGAAGCATGGGTGGAGCTCTGCTGTCCCGCCCTTGTGAGGGCAGCTTGGCTTATTCTGGGGCAGTGCACAGTCCTGGCAATGTCACAGTGCTTTCCTGGCTAAGGAGTGCTGAGGAGGAGGAGGAAGAAAAGGAGACAAAAGCTAAACAGACCAGAGGAGATTCACAGCCCATCATGGTGGGAAGCTGAGACAGGAGGATTGCTGCAAATTCAAGGACATGCTGGATGGCACTGTGAGTCTCAGGCCAGCCTGGGGTACACAGAGAGACCACCTCAAAAAACAAACGGAGTTCATAATGTAGCTCAGTTGGTAGGGAGCTTGCATAACATTCCCAAAACCCTGGATTGGATCGCCAGCGCCCAGTAGCCCAGATGTGCTGACACACACCTGTAATCTCAGCACTTGGCAGGTGATGATCGGAGGGTCAGGAGTTCCAAGCTACCTACCCTTGGCTACATAGAGAAAAAGGTGGCCGACAGTCTGCTTGCTCTTTGCTGCCACCATCTGGCAAGCCTGTCTCACTTGCCAGCGGCCTCACAGCACCCTCTGCTGGACATTGCTGGGCATGGCGAGTGAAGAGCAGTCTACAAATGGAAACCTTTTCCGAGTCAGGTTTGAAGGAATCTGGCTTGAACCACCCTGGTCATTCTACTGGCCTGTGACCTTGTGCCAGGACCACACAGTTCTCACAGTGTGGTTGCATCCATGGTCTGAGCTGGTCCTGCAAAAAGGGAGAGAGGTTCCAGAGACATGGCATTCAGGAACCTCGTATTCAACCGAGCAGGTTGTACACTGCACAAGGACACGCCATCACAGAGGTGCCACCTGTAGCCAACGGGTGACATGTCATAGCTTGCTTGCATATCTATAGTGAGAGCTGACTGGCAGGTGGCAGTCAAGTGTCCCATTCTAACAAGATCTGGAGATGAGCCAGTTGGCCAGCAGATGCCAGGAAAGCCTTCTGAATCAGGGAGTACTTTGGTGACAGGCACAAAGAACTGTGTGGGATGGAAGGGCCCTGAATAGATCCAGACCTAGAGAGGGTGGTAGGATGGTCCAGCAGGACCCCCAAAACCGGCAGCTCTAAAGCAGATCCCAGGGCATCTGGACTCAGGCCAGGAATTCTCCGGAGTTCGCCTTTCTTCTCAAAGTTCTCTTCCTTCCTGTCCTGAACCCCAAGCTTTGGGACTCCACCTTCTTTTCTTGATCCCTCTTCTGATGGGTTACAAAGACTGCCCAGGCCCCCTGTGCTGCTCCCTCAGTGGGGCTCTCCTTCTCTCTCCAGTGTATCCGTCCTTTGCATCAGGCCCAAAGCCTGAGCTGCAGAGCAGTGGCTCTGCCACATTTCACCCAGGCTCTGCCACTCATTCCTCATACACAGTGATTGCGGGCAGCCGCCACCATTCCCGGGCCTTCCCCCAGGCAGGAGACAGGGTCCAGACCACACCTAGCCCTTCCCAAAGGAGAGACTGTATGGAGAAGTATGACCACTGCAGGGCTGAGAAAGGGAATCCCCAGGAGAAGGCTCCAGGGTTTGAGGTCTGTCTTAGGTTCCTTGGGCCCATCTCTGTGCATGTGGCCTGGGGCAGATCTGGGTTGGCTGGACTTTGGGGCTAGAGTGAATGTGGATAATCATCCAACCTCACTCCGACAGCAGAAACCCAATGTTAGGTGCCTCATTTTGCCCCTTAAGTGCTGTGTGACCTCAGGCAGGTCTCACGCCCTTTCTGAGCTTCCAGATCCAGTGCATGTAAATAGGATGAGATCCACTTCCCAAGGTTCCTCTGAGTACAACCGTGCTTTTTACTATGGGAATATTTAAGCCATGAAAACAATCCAGTTAGCGCTCATAGACTCATTATGAGGTCCATTTTTTATTTCTGGCGACTCTTTGGAACTGTCCCTCCCTCTACTTCACACCAGGTCAGCTTCGGTGCTACCGACAGAATTCTGAAGCCTTCAGTCATGTTTGCCCAGAGCCAGGTGCAGGTTAGGGCTGCTCCTGCCTGCAATGCAGGGCTGTGATGCTCCTTCCTCCACTGGCAGGTCCGGGAGCTGACTGACGCTGAATTCCCACACTCCTTCCTGGTGTCTGGAAAACAGCGTACACTGGAGCTGCAGGCCCGGTAGGCACTGACAGGCTGGGGTTACAGAGCCGAGTAGACGGGGCCGGTGGGTACTGTCCTCTGCATTGCCTTCTCTTTCTTTCGGAGCAGGTCCAGAGAGGAAATGATCTCCTGGGTGCAGGTATGGACACTCCAGGCTTCCAGGGCAGTCCAAGCCTAGTCTACTTGGGAAGAAGGAAAGGGGGGGGGTGCATGTGTGCTCCCACGAGTGGGTGTGCCCACCTGCCCCCTCTTCCTGTGGAGTTTGAAGTCAGCCCCGAGTTCAGATCCTGCTGTGACCTACTGCCTTGCTGGGCAGTCTAGAGCAGCTCCTATAGCCTCTTTGAGACTTGGTTTTGTCGTATATAATCTGGAGCTAACTGCTTCCCCTTCATGTAGTTAGAGTCTACTACTGCAGGCCACGTTTAGCAAAATGTGTTGGCTATGGGTAAGACGCCTCAGGCGGCTCTCACCTCCTACCCCTCCTCCACTCAGGCTTGCCAGGCAGCTATTGACCAAGTTGAGAAGCGGAGTGAAACCTTCAAGGCTGCTGTCCAGGGACCTCAGGGGGACGCACAGGAGTCCAAGGTAATAGGACCTTCTGTACCCCATGGCCAGGTCTCAGGAACAAAGGGTGTCCCCTACCAGGACTGACGTGAGAAGGAAACCCTTCCACCAGGCATCACCCTCAGATGAGCCAGGGCCAGAGTTTCCTAGTTAGCAAAATCTGTCTTTGAACCAGGAGGATCAGAAGTTCAAAGTTGTCCTCTGATACTTAGTGAGTTCAAGGCCAACCTGGGCCACATGAGACCCTAACTCAAAAAGAACCTTCAGAAATAAAAATAAAAACCCCTGCCTTTAGCTAGGCATGGAAACAGGTCTTAAATTCTAGTTCTGTGAGCTTAAGGCAAAGCTGGTCTACACAGTGAGTTTCAGGCCAGCCTGAGCTACATAGTGAGACCCTGTTTCAAAAACAAACAGAGCAAAAATTTCTGCTGTTGGAGCCTTGAGTGGAGCTGTGTGAGCCCTGCATAGCCAAGGCCTAACCACTGAACCTGAGCCTATCAGAGAAGCGGGAAGAGTGGGAGGCAAATAAGGCTTTTGTTCCTCAGCTCTGAAGTCTGGCTCTCTGGGTGAGGATCCTGAGTTGTTTGACCTCTCTGGGCCTGTTCCCTCACCTCTACAGTAAGAGCATTAGTAGGTGAACTACCTCAGGTGGAAGCTGCAGGGCCTCTAAGAGGGACAAGATACCTTGAAGCGCCTGCCCAGCCAGCTGCTCTCCTTCCTCAGCCACAGGCGGAGGAACTGGGCATCCGAGCCCCTCAGTGGGTTCGAGACAAGATGGTGACCATGTGCATGCGCTGCCAGGAGCCCTTCAATGCCCTGACGCGTCGGCGCCACCACTGCCGAGCTTGTGGCTACGTGAGTACCCCTGCAGGGCCTGGGACAGGACCCAGGCCCCTCCTTTTACCATGCCAATCCTGCCTCCAAAGTCAGGCTCCAACTGGGTCCCAGGCCTAGCCAGCTCTCCGGCCTCGGCTGACACACTAGGTGTGTCTGCCGCCCCGCCCTTGCAGTGCCCAGCTCTGATGAAGCAGTGTGCCGCTTTCCTGCTTCAGGAATGGGAGGTGGACCCACACAGGCGAATTGAAGTCCTGAAGCCTCCTTCAGCGGCCCTGATGTTCACCTGCCCTTTAGCCATCTTTTCTCAGGGCTCCAGCCCCAGAGCTGAGAGGGTCTCTATCCCCAGGCGGGCACCCACCCACCATCCACTACCTTGCCAGTCCCACCATCTGGCCGGCACCCCAACCTCATTCTCTCTCTCTCCTCCTCTCATGTGTTGCCAACTCCACCTTCTTGAGCAGGCCTCAGTTTCCCTACTTGTCCTAAAAAGTATAATCTTATTTGTGAGGTGGAAACAGGAGGATCAGGGGTTCATAGCCAGCTATAGAGAAAGACCCAGCCTTAAGTCTTTAAAAAAACCTAACAATCTGCCATCGAGATGTCTCAGAGAGTGATGGCATTTGCCGCCAAGCCTGACTTTGATCCCTGGAACTTATAGAGTAGACAGAAAGGACTGATTCGTGTGAAGTCATCCCAGCTTCCATACCCTGACTGTGATACAGGGTGCACATGCACGTGTGCACATACACACACACACACACACACATACTCATCATACTCACACACTCATGGTACTCACACACACTCATCATATACACACTCATCATACACACACACTCATCATACACACACACATGTTCATCTTGCTCACCCCACACACATACACTCATTCATGTTCACCCATGTTAAGTGTAAAAATAATAACAGTAACAATTTAACACAAAACTAAATGTCATGGTACATGTGTGTAATCTCAGCATGTGGAAGGTCGTCCTTGAACATGGCTACCTGAGACCTGGCCTCAGAAAAGCAAATTAGGTTGCTGAAGAAAGAGATAACTGTTGAATGGCTATATGAGACAAATTTCTCACTAAAGCAGGAGGGCGATGTCTGGGGACTTAAGAGCACTTGCAGCAGAGGACACCCTCTTCTGGCCTCCACAGGCACCCACATGCACGCGACACACACTCACACAGACTCCTATGTGCACACAAATAGAAATAAATGTTTAAATTTCCCAATAAAAGCCTACTATTCTCCCAGGGCAAGCGTCCTGGGTGTCTTCACCCTGACTCCAGGGTGTCTGGGGCCTGCGTGTGTCCTCTTTTGGGAGCCAATGAGTCACCTTTCGTTTCATGCTCAACTGCTAGTTTCTGTCTCCCCTTTCTGCCTCAGGCACCCTGTGAGGGTGGGGTACACAGTGACTCCCTGAGAGTGGCCACACCCAACATGCCCGGGGCACCCCAGTCTTCCTTGGAGTCACACTCACTGCACCGGGAGTTTCTCTTCACCCCTCCCCACTGGTCCTTACCTAGTGTCACTGAACACCCTCATGTGCCTTTACCGGTTAGCCGGGTTGGCCGGGTTGGCCGGGGTGGCTGGATTCCCTGGAGCTCTCCAGGCAGGTCTTCCTGCCCTCCATTCTATAGGACAGGACAGACTCCAGCAAGGTGAGACAGACTTAATGTTTTGTTTTGTTTTGTTTCATTTCTTTTCGATTTTTGGTTTTGAGATGCAGTCTCACAGAGTCCAAGCTGACCTTGAACGTTTTAACCCCTCTGTATTCCCCTACCCAGCTGTGGCTGCCACCGTACAACAGACAGAATGTGCAAGGAAACTTTTTCTTTTCTTGTAAATGTAATGTGGCCTTGAACATCTTAACCTTCTGCCTCCATCGCACAAATGCTGGTGTTGCAGGTGTGCGCCATGACACCTGCTTTATGTGGTACCGGGAAGGTAACCCGGGGCTTTGTGTGTGCTAGGCAATCACTCTACTGACTCAGCTACATCCCTAGCACTAAACTGTGGGACCATAAAGACACTGAGAGTGCCCGGGCTGCCAGTTAGCTGTGTGGCCTGACCAAGCCACTTTCTCCTCTGAGTCACCCTGCCCTTGTCATTGCGTCAGGGGTGCACCGAGTCCTGGCCTTGCCAGAACCAGTGAGGTTCTTGTCTTGCCACGTCCTCCAGGACCCAGCCCCTCAAAAGAGGCTCATAGTGGGAGTGTGGTTGGGAATGCAGTGGGCTGGGTCTTGAATCCTTGGCCGTCTGTCTGAACTCCTGTGGCCATGTTTTCTTACCCCTGGTGCCCCATCCTTAGGTGGTCTGTGGCAAGTGCTCTGACTACCGAGCAGAGCTGAAGTATGACAGCAACAGGCCCAACCGTGTCTGCCTGGCCTGCTACACGTTTCTCACTGGAAACGTGCTCCCTGACAGCAAGGAGGACAAGAGGAAAGGCATCTTGGAGGTGAGGGCTGGAGGCATCCATCGCACTTTCCCTTCCCTGAAGGCTCTGCCCTGGGTTCTGAGCAACAAGCAGCTGCCGTGTCTCTTCTTCCTCATCTTTCTGCCCACAGGCAGCCCATCGCCTCCAGTCCAGCCACACCAGGCCTGACAACAGCCACATGTGGCTCTGGACTGACTGTAGGTTCCAGCCCAATCCCTTCCACTCCTCCAGCCAATGATAGTGTGGCCCATCTGTTCCAGTTCACGTTCCTGGGGCCCAACCCTAGGTTCTGCAAAGCAAAGAGAGGAGTATGTCCCTCAGATCTTAATAGATGGAGATGCCAGGCTCCAGTGAGACAGACTGCAGGCATTGTTCTAACTGGAAGGGGGCTCGGAAAACTGATCCAGAGAGGTGACCTGCTTGACATCATACAGCTCTTTCTGGTCTCCTCTGTAATCTGTGTACCACCTTCAAGGCGTCCCAGGACCACTCCCCATCCCATGAGCACTTGCTCAGTACCCATGTACCCGTCCTGTTCATCTTTGAATCTCAAATGCAATGTTAAAACCCAGACACTAGCTAGCCGGGCGTTGGTTGCGCATGCCTTTAATCCCAGCACTCCGGAGGCAGAAGCAGGCGGATCTCTGTGAGTTTGAGACCAGCCTGGTCTACAAAAAACAAAAACAAAACCCAGACACTAGCTACCCTATCCCCCACCCCCACCCCCAAGGCCAGACTGACATCCCACAGTCCCTTGGGAAAGAGAAAAACTGACCAAGACTCCTTCCCACAAACAAGTTGGCTCCTTCTCATAGACTTCATCCCCTTTCTGCTTTCCATGTGTCCCCTCAGATCAGTCCCAACTGCACAAAAAGCCTGCTTCTGGAGTCTCATACCTGGCAGGCCCTGACTCAGGCCCTTGAGTAGCTTGGGGTGTCAGCCTGACTTTGAACCTGCCTCTGTAAATACACAGACCTCATCACTCCTGCAGTTCTGGCTGCTGTTGGCCAGCATGAAACAGGGCCACACAGTTGGGTGTCTCCGAGCTCCAGAGTCAAATGACCCGTTCGTTCCTTGTAAAGATTAATTAAGGGAGGCTGGGCATGGTGGCATGCACCTTTAATCCCAACACTCAGGAGGCAGAGGCCGGCAATCTCAGTGAGTTCATGGCCAGCCTGGTGTACAAAGCAAGTTCCAGAACAGCCAGAGCTGCTACACAGAGAAACTGTCTTGAGAAACAACAACGAAAGGTTAATTAAGGGTCATGACCGTCAGGAGTGGTGGCATGCCTACTACCTCAGAATCTGGGGGTGCAAAGAAGAGGACCAGGGGTTCAAGGCCATCTCCTGATACGTACTAAGTTTTAGGTTAGGCTGGGTTATGTGGGCTTCTGTCTCAAGAAGAAAAACTGACAGTGATTGTGAGTCCCCTGGCACCTTGTGGGCACCCTGTCATCTGGCTGACATCTCTGCTTTCAGAAAGAATCCTTGGCAGGGCCTGACCAGAGTCTGATGTGCAGCTTCCTGCAGCTCCTGGGAGACAAGTGGAGCAGAAGCGGTCCCCGGGGCTGGTGCGTGATCCCTCGGGATGACCCCCTCGTGCTGTACGTCTATGCAGCCCCCCAGGTATGCCATGCCGCCCTGAAAGGCCTCCTCGTTCTCAGTGGGTAGGGGAAAGCGCGGCTTGAGGAAGATGGGGAAGCTGAGGCCCTCTGGGGACGTGATATTCTCAAGTTATAGGCTATCAAGTTTCAGAGCAGGGCCCAGTAGCAGTTCTCAGCTATTCTGCCCTCAGGAAGGTCCAGGCTTCCCTCCTCTTCTTCCTCCCCCTTCCTCAGTCCCCCTCGATGGGGGAGGGGTTCTGGTGTGAGCAGGGGCGTGTGGCTGCCGGGAGCAGGGCTGAAGTGGGCACAGTAGTGCACGGCTTTCTTCTCCACCAGGACATAAAGGCTCACACCTCCATCCCCCTGCTGGGCTACCAGGTGATTGCAGGACCCCAGGGGGACCCCCGGGTTTTCCAGCTGCACCAGTCAGGCCAGATGTATACCTTCAAAGCAGAGTCTGAGGAGCTGCAGGGCCGTTGGGTGAGGGCTATCAAGCGTGCAGCCAATGGCTGGACACCCGAGGAACCCGACGAAGAAGACATGTCTGACTGATTGAACCACAGCTGGCTGTTCCTCAAGAACCTTGCCCATGCCAGGCATCGGTGGCACACGCCTTTAATCCCAGCACTCGGGAGGCAGAGGCAGGCGGATCTCTGTGAGTTCGAGGCCAGCCTGGTCTACAGAGTGAGTGCCAGGATAGGCTCCAAAGTTACACAGAGAAACCCTGACTCGAAAAAAAAAAAAAAAAAACTTGCCCCTGACAGCCTTCCCGGGCTGACCCTGCAGCTGCTCTGTCACTCCACCCCAACCTGAGTTACTCTGACCACTCTGTCATCTATGCCCAGACGTTCATCCTGACTTTGCATCCAGTAGATAGGGGTCCTTTCCTTCAGGAAACTGCAACTAAGTGTCCCAGCTGGCTAGGGGCTGAGGGGTTGCTGAGCCATGAGGTCTTCATTGCTGAAACAGAGACCAGTGTGACCAGTGTTGTAGCTCAGGGGGTAGAGTGCCTGTGTAGGCCATGTGAAGCTCTGAGTTGAGTCCTGAGCATGACACAAACTGGCCATGGCGACTCATGCCTGTGATCCCAGCAATTGGGTAGGTAGAGGAAGGAGTATCAAAAGTTCGAGGTCACCCTTGGTTACATAATGAGTTAGAGTCTAGCCTGAACTACATGAGACCCTGAAAGTCCTGGCGCACACACGGGCACACACATACACAATACCAAAATAAGCTGGGTGGTGGTAAACTGGGCAGTGGTGGCACATTCTCAGAAAAACGAACCAACAGAAAAATCAAAATAAAATATGACAAGTCCCAGGTACCCAGGACTGTTGGTGCCCTAGTGAGGGTCTCAGCCCAGACTGTGAATTAACCACCTAGGAAGCTTTGGGAAAGTTGTGGTGAAAAATAGACACCGACTAACTTTAAAATTAAACATCGACCATGTCTACTAGCAAGGCTTTTTATTTGCTTAGTCTGGGAAGAGGGAAGCATGGGAACTTGGGGTGCCTCCACTGGAGGGCAGTGTGCACTGGGCTGCGTGGCTAGGGAGGAAACAAAGATACTGGGGTACCTGCCAAAGCCAGTGGGACCAGCAGTAAGCTCCCATGGAGCCTCTGTGTGAGTGTGCATGTATGAGTGGGAGTTTGTGTGTGTGTGTGTGTGTGTGTGTGTGTGTGTGTTGAGTCAGGGTCTTACTGTGTAGCTCTATAGCCCTGGCTGGCCTGAAACTGACTATGTAAATCATAGTCACACAGAGACACTCTGGACACACACAGAGAAGCCCCTGCCTCTGCCTCCTTAGTTTTAGGGTTACAGGCATACGCCACTGACGTATGGTAGTTTATCTGGGTACTTTATCTGGGCTATCTCAATCACTATGAGCTAAGACTCCTGTTTTCCAGATGAGGGCATCTACACAGGGAGGTTTACTGATTGTCTCTGGATCACACAGCCAGGGGGGATGAGAGCCAGGCATTAGCTCAGTGAAATGGAGGCAGAGAAAGGAGGAGGGGGGAGGACAGCAGGGGAGACATAGGGATAAAAAAGACTCCTCTGTTTGTCCCCACCCCTTCTAATATGGGGATGCTTACAGCCAGCAAGATGGCTCCACAGGATAGGTCACTTGCCACCAAGCCTGAGCACCTGGGTTTGATCCCTACAACACCCAAGATGCTCTCTGATCTCTACACATGTGCCAAGCATGCCTGTATGTCCCCCATCCCCAGCAAATAAATAAAATGGAAAAATATGTTTACACTGTCTTAGCCTAGCAGTCCATCTGGTGCGGGGCAGTAGTGGAAAGCTTTTAAAAGCCCCAAACCCCTTGCTGGTATCATCATCCCTGGGAGGACCAAGCTGGCCAGAAGTTCATTCCTTTGGTCATTCATTCAACAAACGCTGAACATCTTCCAAGAGTCAAATTTGCTACAGACATATCAACAGTCGAGCCCCCAAGTAGCTCATCTTTAATGTGTGTGCATGGGGGCGGAGCACATTAGTGCAAAATAGAGTACGCCAGGTGTCACCAGTGCTTGAGTAAGGTAGTTAGCCAAGCTCTACATCTCCGATGTTAAAACTCAAAGTCTAAATAAATAAAGAGCCGGGCGGTGGTGGCACACGCCTTTAATCCCAGCACTTGGGAGGCAGAGGCAGGCAGATCTCTGTGAGTTCAACACCAGCCTGGTCTACAAGAGCTAGTTCCAGGACAGCCTCCAAAGCCACAGAGAAACCCTGTCTCGAAAAAACAAACAAACAAACAAATAAATAAATAATACATCTTGAGAAGAGGGTCTGGTCTATGCTGCGTGTGGCACCGGCGCACGCCTTTAATCTCCGCACTCAAGAGGCAGAGGCAGATAGATGGGTCTCTGTGAGTTCGAGGCCAGCCAGAGCTGCATAGTGAGATGCTGTCTCCAAAAATGAAAAAAAGAAAGCAAACAAGCGAATCCAAGATGTGAGGAAAGGAGAACTGGCGCGAGCACTGTGGAAATCAGGAGAGAAGTTCCTCATGAAAATAGAACTGCCATATGGCCCAGACATGCCACCCCTGGCCGCACACCGGGACTCAAGTCTGTGCACCTCCGTGTTGGCAGCTGCACTATCTACATTCGTCAGAGGACAGAGCCAGCCTCCGTGTCCAGCCACAGATGAATGATGTAGAAAATGTGTTGCACAGGCACAGGGGAATTTCATGCAGCCACCAAGAACAATGGAGTCATGACATTTGCATGAAAGTGGGTGGGAGTCAGTGCATTAAGCAAAACAAGCCAGACTCAGGAAGACAAACACAGCATGTTTCCTCTCATTCACGGAACCTAGACTTTAAATGCTATGAATATGTATTCCTGTAGGGGAACTAGAAAGGGCACCATGAGATGGGAAGAAAGGGTACTGAACACATGTGAGATGAAAATAGACAGGGTAGGAGGGGAACCAGGACGGGGAAGAGGGACACCGGAAGGGAAAATAAAATGCTACAGCAGAACCCATTCTTATACTGATTTTAAAATGAATCTAGGGGCTGGAGAGATGGCTCAGCAGCGAAGGGCATTTGCTGATCTTGCCGAAGACCTGGGTTGGGATCCCAGAGCCCACAGCAAGCAGCTCACAACTTCAAGCTGCCTGTATCTACAGCTTTAGGGGATCCAGAACCTTCTTCTGGCCTCCAAGGGCACCTGCATTCACACACACACACACACACACACACACACACACACACACACACACACACACCAATCTTGGAGTTGGAGAGATGGCTCAGCAATTGAGAGCACTTACTGCTGTTGCAGAGGACCTGGGTTCAGTTCCCAGCATCCTCACAGTGAATGCTCAGGAGGAATCTTGATGCAAGGGTCCCCTGGGAAGGGAACTTGATGCAAAGGACCATGGCCATATGCCAGAGCCTGGAGAAAGCTTGCCTCTACTAACCCCCCCTCTGGGACATTATCCTTCAGTCCAAGGAAGGGACCCTGCCACTGGCACTCAGGGCTTCTGGCTCCATTCACTCTTTCCTTCTCAACACGATACGAGTGCACTGTGTTTCCATCTGGAGCCACGCCCTCAGTGCCAATTACCCGCTGACCCCCGTCTGAGTACCCACAGATAGATGAGGTGGGAGAAAGGTAGAATGACTTGTCTAAGGTCTCTCAGTGACCGAGTTTCCAAGGCACACCCAGGTAACACTAGGGGACAGCATCTCCCAGGAGGTAGTGTCCAGTCCACCACACAGCCCTGCCACCGATTGCCTGTGTCCTCTAGGGCAAGACGCGGCTCTACTGGTTACCTCACACTGTCCCTACACCCCTGAGGCTGGGGAGGAGGGTGGCCACATTGATTGACTCTGTCCACAGCCTTGGCAGGTAGGCATGTGAGCTTCCCGTGAGCTTTTCAATTTTTAATTAAGGTTTTATTTTTTTATTTATATGTATATCTGAGTGCGTACCATGTGTATGCACGTGTGGAGGAGGCCAGAAGAGGGCGTCGGATGCCCTCGAACTCCACTTAGAGGTGGCTGTGAGCTGTCTGATGTGGGTGCTGGGAACCAAGTCCTCCGGGAGAGCAATACCCGCTGATCACCTCTCCGGTCTCCCTCTCTTTTTGAGAGGTCTCTTGTATCCAGGCTGAAGTCGATGATCTAAAACTTCTGATCCTCCTGTCCCGTGTGTGTGTGGTGCTGGAACCCAGGGAGGGAGGGAGGGAGGGAAACCCTTGCTTGCTTGCTTGCTTCAGGGTGGGTCTTCTGGCCCACCCTGGAGCAGGTGTTCTCTGTCTTCTGTTGGGCTGACTGGAGGTCAGAGGTGAAATATGTGTTTGAGGTCTCAGAGAGACTGAGGAAACAGAACAAAGCCCCCTAACTGCCTACGATCCCACCCATTTGCCCTCACCTCTCGCCTGCTTGGCCTCCCCTGAGACTGCTTTTGACACCGGCCCGTGGGTGTAGTTACACCATGGGAATTAGCAAACATGAATATTGGCAAATCAGTCCCTCTGACCCCAACCCCCATCCCCAACCCCAGCACACACAGGATGCAGGACAAGAAGGGAGGGGCTCTCTTGGGAGAGCCAGGGAGTCAGCAGCCATGTCCTGAGCTTACCTGGACACCACTAACCCCTTGGGTGGCCCAGACACCTTCCCCTGTCCTTTCCTGCTCTCCATGTGGCCCTGGCCAGCTGCCAGCTGGATGTGGGCCTTGGCAGACGGTGACACTCTTGGAGGTTGAAGGCCAAGGTGGGATGAGGACACACTCCGCCTCTGCTCCTGACCTGACCCTGGCCTCTGCCAGTCACCCCATGTCTGTTGTCACAGCTTGACCAGGAGCTGAGCCTTTCCATCTTCCAGTCTCTCTGTGTGCTGTGTTTATCACTGTAGTTTTTGTTTGGTTTGGGGGGTTTTGTTTGTTTTGGTTTTTTTTTTTTTTTTTGGAGCCTATCCTGGCGCTCGCTCTGGAATCCAGGCTGGTCTTGAACTCACAGAGATCCATCTGCCTCTGCCTCCCCAGTGCTGGGATTAAAGGCGTGCACCACCAATGTCCGGCCTTGTTTTGGTTTTTTGAGACAGGGTTTCTTTGTGTAGCTGTAGCTGTCCTGGAACTAAGC